TCTGTGCACGGGCTAAGTGGAGTCTCAGCAGCAGCCTCTTTAAAAGGGAATGGTATAAAAAAAAAAAAAAAAAAAAAAAGTCAACTTGGCGGATTAAAAATAAAATAAAAAAATAAGCCATAACAAATGACAAATAGAATCTGATAGCACGGCGGCTGTTTCAGGTGGGCCGATGGGAGATAGCGCAGTGCCGTAGCAAAGAAAGCTCTCCAAAAGGAATATTAAACCTCCCTACAGAAGGACTGGGGGTTTATCAGAGTCTTTTGATGGTAATAGATTTTGGTAATAACCTGACTTTATTACTGGAAACAATCTGAGAACACAAAGCATCTTTGCAGATTGCTAGAAGCGCTTTCCAGCTGCTGCAATGCTCTTCTGCCCCCGGCACCCAGAGAGCACCCGGTGTTGCACCAAGGCCAGCACAGGGTGATGGGGAGGGACTGTGGGGTGCAGAAACACAAAACAGAGCTTCAAGGACCAGATATAGGGACCGAGGTACCAGTGGGGGAACCTGCATCCCACCAGGACAGGACTAAATTTCTCAATATGTTGTCCACTTCACAGCGGGATAACATTCCTTGCTCCTGCCAGGATCAGAGCGGCACCGCATGGAAATTCCAGGAATGTTTCCCATCTGCAGAGAAGCAGGTGCCAACTGGGCTTGCTGGTGCCAGCATCCCATTCACCACCCTCCCTTGGGCAGGGAAGAGGCAGGAACGCAAGGAGGAGGTCCTAAATTTAAAAACTTGGCATGCTTTGGTCCATCTCCACACAGTCCTTGCGAAAGGAGGGCAGAGATTTGTGCCTGGTTGGATTCAAGGAGGGAAAGGGGGAAAAGAGAATCCCCTTCCCATGTCCTGGGGAGCAGCTGCCGGACACCTGGAGCCAGGTGCCACAAGTGCCTTCCCCGCTGTGCGCAATGACTGCAAGAGCAAAGAGCCCGTCCTCGTGTTAAGAAAAGCCCCTAAAAACACTCCCAAAAGGAGATGCTCCTTTTTGCACCCCTTTTTGGCTCATTTTGACCCAAACCTACCAGGGAAGGGGTTGCAAAGGGCTGCATCCAAGCAGGGTGTCTCCAAGAGATGCTCTGCCCTCACTCCAGCTATTACAGCCACTACATTTATTCTGCTGTCATGCATTTATCCTATATTATATTGCACTGCTCCGAGAGCAGCTCCCAGGCGTCTGGATGGGGCTGGGAACTGAGATGCTTCCATCTGGGGGCTCTTCTTTCTCCCTGTGTTTTAAGCTGTTCGATTTGAGCAAGATCCGAAATAAAATCCCCCTTGGGGAATGCACAGTTGGCTGCTTCAGCTCCTCGGAATGGGTTTATTTTTCCTGTTTTTGGCCAACGCCACCAGCATTTGACCTTGAAGTGGTGCCCTGCTCCCCACCCGTGAACCTGCAACGGCGGCGCTTTGCCAGCATGATGCAGTGGGAGACTTAGTGACAAAACTTAGCAAAATTGTATTCAAACATGTACAAGTTGTTCATCAAAAAATAAAAATTATTTAAAAAAATGTTTGCATATTGCACTGCCAGAAAGAAGCATTCTGCCTTGAAATCCCTTTTTCTCTTTGAAGTGGCCTCAGGGAAGCTTTCCCTGAGCCTGAGGAAGCGCTGGAGATACCCCAAGTCCCACACAACGCCCACCAAAGGGTTTCCTTTCCAGCCATTCATTAAGTTATCATTTGATTAAATCCAAACCCAAGCGCTGTTATTGGAGCCTCTGAAGGCATCACTTGGCTGGGTTGCCAGGGCAGAGCCCCGGTGTTGCCGCTGGAGCTCGCTGCAGGACTGCAAGCAGGCTCATAAACTCAATTCATCCCAATGTCCTGCTTGGCAAAATCCTCTCCGATGCATTCTCCATTCCACTAAATTCCCATGATTATTTTTTTGGCTATAAAATTTAAAAATGAGCCCCAGCTCTTACTAGGCTCACCCGCTTCCCTCCATGCTCCATTAATTGCCTTTGGATGGGCAAGGCCGCTGGCCTCTGACACGTGCTGCGCTGCCAGCAAGCCGGACAAATGCTGGATACGGGATTCTAGATCCGCCCAAGAGAGCTGGGCAGGTGCCAACACACTCCAATATTTCTTCCAACCTCCACTGCTTTTCTCTACCAATGGATCAGATTTTCCTCCCCAGCTCTTTTCAAGGCTGGGTGCTCCATAGGGATCCATAGGGATCTCCCTACTGGCAGGTAGGGTTCTCCATAGGGATCTCCCTACTGCCGAGCTCATCCCAGAGCAGCCCCTCTCCAGAAGGAGGAGAGCCCCAACCTCATGCCACAGCATGTGCAGCCAAGAAAATCCCACTCCGAATGCTGCGAGCCTGGCCACCTTCTCCTGCATAATCTCAATCATAGAAAACTCCCATCTTGGTAAAAAATAAAGCCAGTAATTTTTTGCATATTGAGCGTGGAGTGGATGCAAACCGCGTTATCTGGATGGCTTGCTGGCTTAGCACAGCCTCCGTTTTACCATACTAATGACTTTTTACACTCCAGGTAAAATCAGAACAAGACAAGAAGGTTTTAGAAAGCTCGTTCTGACAAATTCCTCACTGTAATTACTGGAGCAGAAAGAACTCATCAGCAGTACATGCCGTTGCTCGGGGCGCTAAAAGTCTCGAGTGGTGAATGGCCCAGATATGGAAACTGCAGCCGTCACCGCGGCGCTGCGCGGGGGCCCGGCAGGTCTCCGCTCGCCGCCGTGCCGGGAAGCGCGGTGCCGCTTCCCCGCGCGCCGGCCGCTCGCGGCGCGGGAAGCGATTTCATACGCGAGTGCTCCTGTATAATCCCGCTGCGCGCCCAGGAGCCGCTCCGGGCAGCGTGTGCTGCTCCAGGGGTTCTGAGACGGATGGAGCAGCCCCATGAGCCCAGCCCATGAGTCTGGTTATGGATACGGGTTGTGGATTGCTGGTTATGGATGCTGGTTACGGATGCTGGTTATGGATGCTCGTTACAGTTACTGGTTAAAGGCATCGGTTAAAGGCACCCACTGGCTTTTCCAGCCCCTGCTCCTCATGCAGTCGTCTGCAGTTTTCCCAAAGGGAGAAGGGAATGCCGATCCGAAGGAGCCCGGAGGAGTTTTTGGGCAGTGGGTCTTCCCTGTCGGCCGTGTGGCCGGGCTTGCACAGCGGCCGGCTCTCACACTCCAGATACGAGCTGCTCCCCAGGTGCCTCCACAGCCGCGGTGCCCTCGGGGACCTGTGGGACCCCCTGGGGACCTGTGGGGTGTGGGGGGAGTCCCCGGAGCCCCGCGGCGCTCGGGCCGGCCCGGCCGGAGGGTCCGCGCGCGCCTCGGGCACCGCGGAGCGGAGCAGCCCCGGCCGGCGGGCAGGGAACGCGGCTCGGCCTGGCTTTGGGTGCCCTCTCCAGGCCCCTCCGGCTAAGGCAGCTCCTGGAGAGGGAATTCACCCGAAACCGGGAAGCGGCGGCGCCTCGCTGAGCCGCGGCGGGACACCAGGTCTCCCGGGCCCTGGTCCGGGGAGCGGCCGGGGCCCTCGCGGAGGGGCAGGAGGGATGCGCCAAGGATCCATGCCCTTCCTAAACCCTCTCCTAGTGCCCTGTGTTGGCTGCAGCGCAGGATGAGCCTCCTGCGCAAGGAATGGCCCGCTGGAGGCCAGGGAGCTGTGGAGGAAGGGACGGGGGAGGCAGGGGCAGGGGAGCCGTGATGCTCCCAGGGGCTCCTCGCACCTTCTGGGGCTCAGGCACTGCTTTCTCCCCTTACGAACACTAGGCAACTGCAGGCTGGGTTTTGGTGGCTTCTTCTGGAGCCGTTCATTCCAGCCATGCAGCCTCCCAGCTCCTTGCTTCCTGGAAAAACATCCACGAACACGTTGCTGTCTCTGGAAATCCTTCGTCATCCCAGGAGCTGCTTGACGGGTACTCCAGATGACTCCCAGGCCAGGGTTCTCCAGCATCTTCCCTTCAAATCCATCCCCAACCTCCGTTCCTTCGTTCCCTACATTCTCCAGGACCAAGCCTCCATTCCAGAGCATTGTCCAAGCCCGTAACAGTCCTGTCACCAGGATTTCAGCCAGGATCTCTTCCAAAGGAGAGGGATTTGGGGGCAAGGAAGGATGAGCCAGCTGGAGGGATGCTGGACACGAGCCACAGTCACAGCACTCGGTTGTGAATTGGCCAGAGTCTGTTGGACATGTGGAGATGTCCAGGACCTCTTCCAGAACCCTTTGGAGCTTCCACCAGGGCCACCTCTGGGACCTCCTTCCAAGATCTCTTCTGGGATCCATGTCCCCATGTCCCACATCCCTTGCCTGCCTGATCCTTCCCTCCTGGAGAGCCCCCTCCCGCTGCTACCAAACCCTTTATCCAAATACTGATTACAGGGTTTTGCTGCCTCTTTGATTACCATGAAAACTGGTCATGGGGCTGGTCCTGATCGCAGGGCAGATTAAAAAAAAACCCTGCTTTTTTCAAGCCATTCCCCACTCCGCTTCCTTCCGCCCTTTAGTCTTTCTCTTGGTTTTTAGTGCAGTTTAGCTCCTTTCTTTCTTGAAGCTCCTGTTTTAATCATGTGCAGCAGCTTTCAAAGAGCCAAAGCTTTGGGGAGGAGGGAAGCGGCTGCTGGAGGAAGGCTCCGAGGCCGTGTCTTCCCTGGGGCTCCACAGAGGGGTATCTTCCCTGGCATCAGGGCAGCATCTCCTGCCTCCCCCTTCCACTGCTTTGAATTCCTCTGTGAAACCCCGGGACTCCAACCCAGCACCCTTATCACTTATCTTTGATGGAGCCGCCGTTATTATTAGGTTGGAGCAGCAGAGCAGACAGGCGGGTGCTGCAGAGGCATCGCGGCCCTGCGCGGAGGGGTGTTTTGGGGGGAGTTGCTCTCTTTTGATTGATTTAAGGATGGTTCTGTCTCTTCCCAGTGGCTCTCCCCAAAGCCAAGGAGAGAAGGGCTTGTCCCTTGCGAGAGCACCGGCTTCCCATGGCCAAAGCTCAGCTGGGTGCTCCCAGGAACCTGCTTTGCCATCAGTACCCACAGCCTTGGTCTGGCCCCAGCTCTCCCTGCCCTCAACTCCTTCCACCTCCTCCATGTATCCGACGTTTTTCCAATCTCATCGTCTCACTCTGCAGGCTCTCGGCAGCGATCAGCAGCACAGGGTATCCCCGAGGCATTTCCCACCCTCTGGCAAACACAAACAGGAGCCTGAGCCACAACGTCCCGGCAGCAGCGCCGTGTCCCCGCGCGGGAAGGAGCCCCGCGGTGACACCACGGAGGATGCGCGGGGCAGCGCCGAGGATAGATACAGCTCTTAATCTCTCTCTATCTGCTAATTAAATATTGATGGCAGTTAAATATTCATAGAACATTTTGGCTCAGAGTTTTTATCTGTCTTCGAGCATACGTGAAGTCTTTGATGTGTTATTTTTTCTGGTCATCCAAGGTCCCAGAAGCCTCCAGACTTGTCAACACTATTTTGAGTTTTTTGGTTATTTTTTCCTGGCCACATGTGACTTTTAGAGGATTTTATTTGCTTGCTTCTTCGCTTCTATTTCCTCTTTGTCCCTTTTCATTTATTTTTTTTTTTCCCATCGCTCAGTACCTAATCTCTTCCCCATGCAAACACAGAGCTCAACATTTAATGCCTGAGCCTCCCTGAGCGGAGGAGCGCGGCTGAAGGTCACCAGCTCCGAGGAGAGCTGCTTTCCATCTCTTTTCTGCTGATTGCCACCCAGGAATATCGAACCGCGGAGATGCCTGCCATTAGCAATCCCGGCTGCGTTGCATTCCCTTGATGGGAAGCAGAGGCTGCTTGGAACCAAGAGCTGCTCCAGGTGGGAAGGTCAAGAAGCGCATACCAAGTTCTATATGGAGCCGGGGAACATAGTGTCCTGGTGCGATGACTTGAAGTCCTGTTGCCCCTGCTGGGGCCCATCGCACGTGAGCTGCAGATGGACCCTTGGGAGCTCCAGGAGACCCTCTGGCAATGCAGGTAATGGGCAGCTCTGCCTTGGATCTGTCTTGGGTGTCTTCCCAGAAGGTGAGGAGAGAGCAGCATTGAGGAGGAGGTGGTGAATGGACCCACCAAGGTGGCAGCTGAAGGCAACGGGCAGAGAGGAGCTGGTGGAGGCTCCTCCCAGGGTGGCTGGTAGCAGAAGATGCCATGGAGCAGATTATACGGCTGGGAGATGGTCCTCGGTCTATCTTGCATCTTCCTGAGGGTAGTCAGGGGTCCTGGACTCTTGCCTGCACCCACAGGAGATGCGGTGGCCAGTGATGGTCTGTAGAAGGGCAAACCACTGATCACATCGGAGCAGCCCTGTCCGCAAGGACGGCTCCTACACTGTCCTCAGGCAGGGTGGTCTGCACAGTCCAGAGGAGCCCGCACCCACACGCTGGAGCCTCCCTGAGACAGAGAAAGGAGGAGGAGGAGGCTTTGGCTGAAACCTGCTGCTCTTGCCTCGCCCAAAGCTCCTCTGTCCAAAGAGCCTCACTTTGGACTCCATGCCCATCCCATAGGGACACGGTGGGGACTGGAGCCAGGCACACCCAGAGGGAAGGAGACTCCAGGATGGGACATGCTGGAGCAGGAGGCCCAAAGGCCGCCCTGGCCAGGGCACAGGCAGCCTTTCCTGGGGCGGCACTGACATCTTGTGCCAAGCAGAGGAAAAACATCAGGGATCTCCATGTCCCCTGCACCATGGCAGCCTCGCATCCCCTTGCTCCGAACACCAAGCAGCTCCCAGCAAAACGTTCCCAACGCTCAGCTCAAGACCCACCTCCTCATCAGGGGGCCGTCACTGCGGTCCCCAGCTCCCCTTGCTCCATTGGCAGTGCCACTCTGTGATTTTTTCCCTGGAGAAGGATCGGGTTTGAGGTCTGAACCTGGACACAAGCCCCGTGCTGCAGCGTGGGCAGCCGCAGATGCTGCCAAGCCCCTCGTCCCCAGCTGCTCCTTCCTCAACAGCAGCAGAGGGGGGAAATGGGCAGGTTGGGGTGGGGTTTTTGGGACTTCACCAGGCAAAAAATAACGAGAAATCACCAGAACCTGAAGGAGCAGCTCAGGCTGGGGTAGGCTGCACTCTCCAAGCCCACCTGGAAGCCAAGGCCAGGGAGGCTGGAGGGGACAACCAGAGGGGTTAAGTCCTGGCTCAGCACGAGGGTCAGAGCTCCCAGCTGAGACACCAGTCAGGAGCAGGAAAACAGAAGGCAGCAGATGTCCAGGTCGCAAATTGAATTAAACGGCTCAGCAGGAGGAGACGAGCAGCGGGTTTGGGGCCAGGCTGGTCTCGCCAGAGCAGCCCCGTGGCCGGGGAGGCATCGGCCGCCTCTGATTTCCCCTCCCGCTTTCGCCTGCCCTGCGCTGAGGAAGCTGCCAGCAACGGGATCGGGATGCAGGGTGCAACAGGGGTAGATGATATCGGGGGTGGGTTTGAGCTCGAACCTTGTGGAGCTCTGGGGAGCGGGGCGGGAAGGCGCTGGCTTTAGCAAGCCTGGCCCGGATGCTCCTCGCGAGCAGGGCCGGCTGGTGCAAAGGCAGCTCTGCAGCTGGGGCTGCTCAGCACACAGGGCCCAAAGGCCGCGGGAAATGAGTCACGGAGCAGTGTGGGGGGACTCCCCGGCAATGCCAGAGCCATCCCAGAACGGGAAACTCCGGGTGTCCCGAGCGAGTGCTGCAACCTGTGCTGGCAACGCGCTCAGCACCGCTCGCTTGTGGTTAATATTCGTTAAATTGGGACTCGGACGCGATGCTGTTGGAGGCGCCTGCCCTGAACAGGGGGCTTGTGTCATCTGCTCCGTGTTGTTCCTGTATGTTCTCCATTTGCGGCAATATTGGGAAGTGGGAGATGCGGAAAGCCTTTCCGGGAAGATGTTGCCGCTCTAGCTAGTGGCCACAAACCTCGGGCAAGCTGCGAATGGAAGAGCTTCCCTGCCCTCAGAGGCAGCCCTGGGTGAGCAGGTGTTGGGGTGAGATCATAGATTCCTGCGGGATTTTCCAGCCTGGAAAATAAAATAAAATAAAATAAAATAAAATAAAATAAAATAAAATAAAATAAAATAAAATAAAATAAAATAAAATAAAATAAAATAAAATAAAATNTAAAATAAAATAAAATAAAATAAAATAAAATAAAATAAAATAAAATAAAATAAAATAAAATAAAATAAAATAAAATAAAATAAAATAAAATAAAACAGTGCTGCCCTTTGGGGATGGGATCTCTGGCTGCTCTCTGCAGAGCCCTGGTGCTTTGGGAGCCAGATCTGCTCCTGGGGACAGGCGAGGGGGACGTGGCCACCACTCAAATCCAGCCCATTGCCTCCAAGAGCTGGGGAAATCCCAGGCGGCCAGGAAAGGGCAAGGATCACGACAGCACTTAGAGAGGAAATAGCCCGGCTCGGGTATTTATGAAGCGGTTATCTTGTCATCAGCTGAGGCAAGATAAGGGGAAAGCTGAGCTCAGTTCCAGCCGAGATAGAGATAAAGAATTAAGAGCTGGAGGAATAAATCAAGCAAATTCTCGCGGCTTTGTGGAAAAGAGAGCGGAGCTGGCAAAGCTCATTGGATTACAGTTATTATTTGGGATGCACCAGCTGTCCCAGCTGCACGGTCCTGGAGGCAGCACACTTAGACCTCAGTCTCCTGGGAGCATCGATTGGACAAAACACGGAGCCTCCGGAAAGCACGAGCAAACCATCTGCATGACGCACCCCGAACGGCAGCTGACCCCGAGCAGAGATGGCCAAAGAACTGTCATTTTTTTTCACGGTGTCTGGGGAAAAAAAAAGGCATTTTCCAGCAGGGATCACCTTCCGATCCTGTATCCCCAGGGCACCTGGCTGCTCTTTTCACCCCCTGACTGAGGAGCTGGAGCTCTGCCACTGACAGAGCACTCCTGATGCCTGGGAACCTGCCTATATTATGCTTAAAAAGTACAAGTTTTGCTCGCACTGGGTGCAGCGGAGCCTTTGTGGGTGCTGTGGGCGGAAAGAGGCAGTGAGCGGAGGGACCGGCTGCTGGAGCAGCACCATGAGGTGGGAAACTGAGGCAGGGGGAGAAGAGGAGCCCGAACGTGTCAGAGGTGCTGGAGGAAACGCTCCATGGGAGAGATATTGGGAAGGGAAAATAGATGGATGCACCAGGATTGCACTGAATGCAAAGAGAAAAGGGTGCTGAGCAGCAGGGCTGGCAATCAGGGAACCGCAGCGCGAGGGGAGCTGAGGACGCGTTTTATTAAAAAAAAAAAAAAARARAAAAAAAAAAAAAAGAAGCGTGATTAAGCAGTGACACAAAGTCCCCACGGAAGCGGTGGTTTCCCCATTGCTCGATGACTTCAGAGCGAGAGCAGCTGCCTCCCGCGCTGGCCGGTGCCGCTCGGAGCATCGCTCGGACCGCACACGGGGCGATGCTGCCCCAGGACGGGGCAGGACAGGGTGGGCTGCTTGGGGCCCAAGCCCCAGGTCACTCCTGTCGCCCCCGGGCTGCGGGCTGGGTGAGATGGGGACAAGGCAGAATTTCCACGTGGGCCTGCACCCTCCTTCGCAGCAGGAGCCTCCGCATCCCGACGCCCTCGGGAGGCAGTGGGAAAGTCCCGGCTAAAAGTCCCGGGGACCCCGCGCTGCCCGGGGACACGGGGTCCAGTGCTGTGAGTGCCCATGTCCCCCGCGCCACCAGGGAAAGGGGCAGGAAAAGAGGGGGTGGCAATTTGGGGCACCCCCTCCCCAGCTCGGGGAGGCAAGCTGAGGCCGGCCACACTCATCACAGCGATGGCTCTGCCTCATCCCCTTCCGCAAGTCCCTGTGCACGAGGGCCCCGGACACAGAGAGAGGCCGGACATGGGACGGTTGGACACGGGAGAACAGGCAGGGATGATCCCGGGGTATCGTCCCTGCGGTGGGACCCTCGCAGCCGGGACGCGCGGGGGCAGACGGCGACGGGGCGTCGCGGGGCCGTGGGACGGACGGACGGACGCAGCAGGTGCTGGTAACCTCATCCCTGGATTTCCCCCGCTCCCCCATGCAGGCATTTTTCATGGGAACCTTCAAGCGAGTGATTTCCCAGTGCCAAAAAAAAACGTCATTCTTTGACTTGCAGGACTATTCCTCACTGTGAGGAAAACAGCCGTCCCGCTGGGGCTCCTTTTCCCCCAGTTTGAGGCTGTTGCTGTCCTAGGGGCTCAGCCAGACCTTCCCTAAGGACAGCTCTGGGAACAGCGAGCGTGCGGAGGGAGCAGAGGGGACAGGGAGCAAATATCCTTCCTTGGGAAGAAAGCGCAGGACCTTTCTTGGGACCTGTCTTCCTTGGGAAGAGAGCGCAGGTGCTCGGGACACAGCTGTGCCATAGCAAGAAGGACACAAGCCACCCGAGGCAGCCAGTTTGGGCCTTGGCTCCCAGTGTGGCTGCTGGATTTGAGCTGGTAGGTGATGCCAAGGGCGTCCCGGTGCAAAATCTTTCCCGAAATAGATGAGGGAGCACGGAGCCAGCCCAAGGGCTCAGCTGCAGCGAGTGAAGCGGGAGCACGGAGGCTGTGCTGGGACACAGCTCCCGGCTGCCGCAGCTGTGCCGGAGCACGGATCCAGCTCGCGGCTCCGAGCCGCTTCCCTACCGGTTGCCAGGATCCATGAGGAGCATCCCGAGATGTGCTTGGGAAGACAGGACTCTGCGGCCAACTGGGCAAGGACAGAATGCGCTGGAACAGCCCCAAAGCAGCCCCTGCATTTCCCAGGCTGACCCGGCTGAGAAGGGAGCTGCCGCTGCCCCTGCCCCGGCCTCAGGGTTGGTGACCCAAGGCCCTCGCCCTGGCCTCTCCTGGCACCCAAAGGTCCCCAAACCTGTGCAAAAAAAAAAAAAAAAAAGTGCAACAAGGTGTTTCCGGCGGAAATTTTTGACCCGATAAAGTGACTTCTCCACCCAAAGGCAGCTGTTTCTGCCTTCCCAAATGAGCTTGGGAAGAGCCGGAGCCCCTCAGGGAGCCAAGAGCACCAGCTGGGAGCCAGGACGTGTCCTTCCTGGAGCCGTGCTGGGAGCGGAGGAATATCCCCCCCGCTCCGTGTTTTGGGACGTGGCCGGGGACCAGGTCCTCCCCTTCCCACACCATCGCCGCCCCACTCTCCCCAATAAAAGCAGCCCCCCGGCCTCGGCCCCACGCTCGTCTCCCGCCAGCTCCATCGCCCGGCTGCTCCTCGGCACGATGAAGGCAGCCTGTGCCTTCCTCCTCCTCCTCCTCCTCACCGCGCTGTGCTGCAGGAGCCTGGCCCAGAGTGAGCGCCTGAGGCTGGGCGATACCGGGGTGCTGGGGGGGACGGCGGGGCCAGCTTTGCTCCGTGCAGGATATGCAGGCGCCGCGAGGCCGAGCGGAGCTCTCGCTGTCCCCTAGGAGCCCCAGCCGTGCCGGACAAGTGCTGCTTCAACTTCCAGACGCGCAGGATCAAGAGGGACAACATCGCCTACTGCTATGCCACAAGCCCCGAGTGCCCGCACCGGGCCGTGATGTGAGTACGCGGCCCCCCCGGGGCGTCCCGCGGGGCGCCCGGCCTCCCCCGACCCCTTCCCATCCATCCTCCGGCAGATTCCGGCTGAAGAACGACAAGGAGATCTGCGCCCAAGCCGGGCGGGCCTGGGTGAGGAGGTACCAGGAGACCTTCAAAGCCAGCTCCTTCTCCCTGCCCAGCTAGGGCGGACGCGGGGGACACTGCCACACAGCCCGTGAGCTGCCGGTGGCTCCTTGTTCCCGAGATATCCCCTCCTCGAAGCAGAGGAGCCACGTGGACCCCTCAGGGTGATGGAGGCTGGGGTCCCCCCGAGCGCACCCAGCTCCCTGCATCCCAGCTTTCCTCCATCCCAGGGCTAAGGTAGGATGGGTCCTTGGCTGAGGAGCACCCAGCCTCACTGACAGCCTCCCAGCCAGGTCCCGGCCTCAGGCAGCAGCACCTTCAGCTAATGCTGGACAAGAGGCTCCCCCAGGAGCCGCTTCTGCGCGTGCAGGGGTGGAGGAGAAGCGTCCGCGCGGTGACTTGTTGTATGACCCGCTGCACGGCATTAAACGTCACGTCATGTATGTGAACGTCTGGCTGGGAAGGTCTCTGCGCCGCGGGAGCAGCCGGTGCCGCCGCTGCCTCTCTCCGTCCAAGTGTTAATGGGAGCAAGCTCTGCAAGGGGCTGGGAGGACACGAAGCCGTGGGCATCCCGCAGTGTGGAGCCTGAGGCCAGACCCTGCCCCTGGGGCTGGGGAGGTGGGAACAACCCCGGGTTGGTGCCAAGCTTGCCAAGAGGAGGCTTCCCATGCTCCTTCATCCATCCCTGCCAACGGGATGAAGACCCGTGGGCAAAACCCAGTGTCAGGGCAGCAACGGTAGGTCCCCCAGGGACACAGCCCTTCATGGGGGTCATACGGAGAGGAGATGAAGGAGATGGGCACAGGACCTCGAGGGGCATCGGCAACGCAGGGGCACTTGGGGCTGGGCTGAGCAGGGTGAGCATCACAGAGGGGCTGTCAGCAGGTGCTTCTTTTGCAAACAGACATGGGACTGGAAGAGGCGCGAGCGAGGATGCTCGCATCATCCTGTGTGGTTTGTCAGCGGCAAGAGCCGAACCCAAAATAGACTGCGGGCCCGTGAGCATCGCCCGGGTGCAGAGCTGCTGGGTTGCTACCAGACTTTCCAGCATCCTTCTAGCCACGGCGTTGGAGGATGGAGGGGCTGGAGATGTGCTGACCACAAAAAATTTCCCTTTATCGACTGTCATTTTTTAAATAAACCCTTCCACTGGGGACAGTCCAGAGCAGTCATGGAAAGCCTTGGCGTGGGCTATATAATGCCGAGGCGCAGCGAGAAGCAGCAGGTAGGGCTAAGCTACCTCAAACCAGCAAGCACCAAGCTGCCGCTGAAGCCGACTGAGACCCCACCTCGACATGAAGGTCTTCTCCTTGGCCCTGGTTTCTCTGGTTCTTGGTGCTCTCTGGACTGAAGCCCAGGGCAAATCCTGTAAGTACCGACTTGGAGACTTTTCTTGTACCCTGTGGGATGCCCTGACCCCATCCCCGACTCCTGCAGCCTGGGTTGAAAAGTAAGGAGGAGGGAAACTGCCTGAATTCCTGTTTCTGTGGGTTTCAGTGGGTTTCTGTGGGCTGTGGGTTTCAGTTGCTGAAGGGCATCCAAAACTGCCTGGGCTGCCCCATCCCCGTTAAACAGGGAGCGAAGATCTGGTGCCAGATCCGGGATTTTCATTGCCCTTGGTTATAGGTGCCATGAGCAAGGCAGGTTGGTCGAGAACTGACCCAGGTCATGACTCGCATGGGGCAGCACCAACCTCTGTTGCTCTCTCAGTCCGCAGCTCCTACACCGTATGCTGCTACCCCGAGATGTTCGTCCGAGACAAAATCCCTGCATCGGCCATCAAAAGCTACAGGACAACATCACCCACTTGCTCCCGCAAAGCTGTGCTGTGAGTATCCCGCGGCGGCTGCACCCCCGGGCAGCCTTCCTCCCCGCCGCCGCGCTCCTCCTCGCTGGGTCCCACACACTCACCAGGTCCCTGCTGGTCATCCCCCTAGGGCCAAGGGCAGCAGCCCTGCTCCTGGGTCAAAACACTCTCCCTGTCGATTTATGCCGAATATTCCAACAAATCCAATTCTTTAAATTGCCAGCCGGGGTGTTAAAAAGGCTGTTGGAGGCTGCCAAAAACCAGCAGCCTGGGGAGCTGTCAGACGGGGTGCTGCGGGTGCAAGACTCAAGCCAAGGTCTCCAAGGGGTCTCCAGGCTGCACGGCCTCATGCCACGAGCAGGGCTACCCCGGAGAATCCCCAATCCCATCCCAGGGCCAGCAAGCACCAAGCTAACACCAGCCTTCCTCTGTCCCCAGCATCAAGCTGCAGAGAGGGAAAACAGTCTGCGTGGACCCCCAAGAACCCTGGTTCCAGAAATACCTGCAGAGGAAGCAGCAGACGTCCCCAAGAAGACTCTAAGTAGCTGGCACATATGCTATTTATTTATAGCCCTTAATTACCTGTGTTTTCCAATATTCGGACTTTGCTGCCTTCATCCCCTACAGTCTTCTTGTACCTGGCGCTCAACATTACTGCCTTTGTCCTCTACTCAATAAAACACCTTGCTCTGACCTGCACATCGGTGTGGCTGAAGTGAGAAGGTGTAGCTCCCTTCTGTGAAAGGAGGGCTAACGTCAGGGCTTCCCCTTCCTATGGGGACATAGAAATCATCCAGGAAACCTGAAGGAAGAGAGTGCAATTATCAGAGCAGGGAAAGCACCGGCCTGGGAGGCTCTGCAAGCCCAGAGCATCAGGTGCTAAGACCTGGTGCTAAGACCCAGAGCTGCTCCCAGCTTCTCCCCACAAACCAAGAGGCCCTGTCCTTGCTGAGGGCTTTAAGAAGCCCCTCGCAGCTGCCAGCCCTTGGGTGCTGACTGAGGTAGGGACAGCTGGGTGCAGGTGTTGGGACATTGGGTGTTTTCCCTTGTTTGTGTCTATTTAGGTGTTTTGTGGGGTGCTTTTTTGTTTTTCAACCTCTCTGCCGGAGCTGCTGAGGCAGAAGCACAGCTGGAAGGAGGTGGCGGTGCTGCAGATGGGGTGCTGGCGAGGAGCATTAATTGCCAGCTGCTGGAGACGAGGGTTTGGGGATGGGGTTTAGAGACAGTGCTCTGCCAGACACCAGGCACGGAGCAGGACAAGGCAGCTAGGGGGGACCAGGCATCCTGCGGTGACACCCCAGTCCCCAGCAAGCAAGGGACATCCCTGCAAAATGCCAAAGTGATGGACATCCTGGTGGTGAGAACGGCCCTGGCTCGCTCTGAGCCTGATGGAAGTGACGTCTCCAGCCGGGCACGGGGCGAAAGGGCCGCACGTGTCCCTGTGGGACAATTCCGGGCAGAGGCAACCACGGACTTTCTCACTTTGCATGCGGCTTACGTCAGATCCTGCTTGGGCCAAGGCAGCCAAAATAGCCTCTTGTTGAAAACGGACCATGATCTCACTTTGTTCAATGAATTCCCTAAAATAAGGAAGCAGCTGAAAGTGCTTGCCTTGCTTTTGTCCACGTTTCCTCCCTCCATCGTGGCTGGACCGGCTCCGGCGGCAGTGGCAGGGGCTGGAGGAAAGGACCATCCCAAGCAGGGCCTCCAGCGATGCTTTCCAGAGGTTGTCCATGGTGGTGTTGGGCCTCAGCAAAGCCATGGGTGTCCTAGCAGGGCAGGAAGGCTCTTTGCAGCGTGCAGGCATGGCCCAGGCAGCAGTCTGGAGCCCGGGAATGATAACGTTAAGAACAGCCCCTCTGCTACGCGCCCGGCATGGGCAGGTTTTTTCCAAATCTCTCCCCACATCCTGTACCCAAAGGTCTAGGGTGCTCTGGAAATCAATGTGCAGAGGCCCCTGGAAAATCAGATTAATCTCTGCACAAACTCACAACCCAACTCCAGATCCCATCTCCCAGACGTCGAATGTCACGCACGGAACCCGTTTCTCCCGCTAAGCCCCCGCTGCCGACTCCTGCGGGCTGGTTTCAGAGCTCCCCATCTCCACCGGTGCCCGTGGCAGCTCCAGCGCCGGCTCCTGCGGGCTCACGTCAGCCCACACCAGTGGCTTCAATGACTCATGCCCTCTCAGGAAGCAGGGCACTCATCACAAGACTGTTTCAAAAGCCATCTCGCTGGGGAGCTTGCTCCCTGGCTCCTGAACACCAAGAATGTGCTGTCCTTGGTCAAGCCGAAACCCAGGAATAACCTCAGGAGGGGAGCAGAAAGCCAAAACTCACACTTTGTCCTCAAAAAGGACGCAGGGCAAAGGGTCCCCGAAGGCAATGGTGCTCCTGGGGTGTGCAGGGAGATCAGCCCCAGCATCTGCAGGTGGCTGCCCTGTCCGCTGGGATCTCTCCCTCTCCAGACCTTGGGGTGCAGGGGAAAAGGCCGGTCAGTCATCCCAGATCAGCCCTGTGGGCACCTGGCTTCTCCCCTGCCCAAACAGGCACCCAGCACCTACCACCACCCTCAAGTTTCCACATCCCTTGTGGTCTCCAGCCACGACCATATCTCAGTGCTGGTGGTATTAGTTTGGTGTTGTCAGGCCACGCTGGCCATGTTTCCTGGGCTGCTTTGACAAGAAGTCGTAAACTCTGTGGCTTGAAGGAGGCTTTTTGATGTCTCTGCATGTGGTCTGGTGAAAACGAGAGTGCATTACACAGATTTCCAAGGAGCATGGGCAGCACCGAGTAGCCATCCTTGGGGGTGGCTTTACTCGAGGACACCGCTGGCCTGATGATACCTGTTGGCTGGTTGCCCTTGACTAGGACAACCTCTTGGCACCCCTTTTGGCTGCCCTCCACCCACAGGCTCTGTCTCTCGGCCCAGCCTCAGAGCTGTTTGCCCCGGGCTGGGGAAAGCAGTGCACATTTTGTAGGTAACTCAGTATCGCAACTGCTGGGGACTCCGAGGTGGAAGGGCACTTGGGCCTAAACGGTGGAGAAGTTATAGATGGAAATTTGGGCGCTTGATTGTGGGTTGTAACGGCGGTGCCTGGGAGTGATGGTGCAGGGCGGCTCCATGGGCTCGACTCGGTGGTGGGGCAGAGGGGGCGACGCTGTGTGGGGCAGATCCGCACGCGGGGCAGATTCGCACGCGGGAGCGGCTGGGAGCGCTCGGCGCCGCCTGCGCTGGGCGTCCCCAGGGCTCGGCGGGGCAGCTCCCCAGCCCGCGCCGCGGCTCCCGCGCACACCGGGCCGCGGGGCTCGGCCGCCGCGACGCCCCGCGAGGGTGCCGGGCTGGGCTGCGGGGCCAGGGCTCCCTGCAGGCCTTTCCCCGCTCGGAAACGGAATCTGAAAGCGGTGGAGCCGGGGCCGGCGCTTCCCCTTCTGCGGCTTCCTGGCCTTTTCCAGCTCAGCAAAACGGGGCTCATCCCGAGAGCGTTTCTCCGTACGCTGCGCCCATTTCCTTGGGCGACGCCGGTGCCCGCCCCGCGGCCGCGCTATAAGAGGAGGGCAGCGGCGGCGCCCGGCATGGAGCAGCGCAGCTCGCGGCACCGGCCCCGCTCGGCGAGTCCCGCGCCCGCCCCGGCAGCACCATGAAGGTCTTGGTGGCCGCCCTGGCTGCTCTGCTGCTCGCTGCCCTCTGCGCCCAGGCCCATCTGGGTGAGTGGGCAGCGCCGCGGGCTCCTGGCGCCGCTCCGGGCCATGCCCTGCGCGGCTGGCGGGGCGCACGGGACCGTGGTGGCACCGCGGGGAGGAACGGGGGTGGGTGACGGGCACGAGCGCCAAGGCCGGGCTCTGGGGGTGTCCGCGGGTGGCACCGAGTGGCAGCGACAGGCGGGCGCCCCGCGGGGCCGGCGCTCACCGGGGGCTCTGCCCTCGTGCCTCCCTCCTTGCAGACGGCGTCCCCACCTCGTGCTGCCTCAGCTACCACTCCAGGCCCGTCCCGCGCGGCCTCATCGCCTCCGCCTACGTCACCAGCAGCAGCTGCACCCAGCCGGGCGTGATGTGAGTAGGGGGCTGCGCCGGGTCCCCCCGTGGCGCGGGCGCCGGTGCCCGTGGGGCGCCGGGAACGGGGCACCCGCGTCCTCCCGACGCAGCCTCCTCATGGCCTTTTGCTCCCACAGCTTCGTCACCAAGAAGAAGCAGGAGATCTGTGCCGACCCCCAGGCCCCCTGGGTCCGGGCGCATCTCAAACACTTCCAGAAGAAGCAGAACTGAGCCAGACCCAACAGCGACCTGGGCCGGCTGACGGCCCCTGCCCTTGTGATGGACACCTGGCCTTGTGTCTCTCTGGAGTGGAGCAACCTATTTTATTTAAGTTATTTATGATTAACTTAAGTTAAATATTTTTTGCTAAAAAAAGGAAAATGCAGAAAAAAGTGTTACATAATTTAAGTAATTTAAAAGTTGAGCGTGTGTCTGTTGGTGGGACTCAGGCGCTGCTGCCTCAATAAAGTGTTGAGATGCTGAAGCCTTGTGGCGTGTCTTGAATTCTGGCTGGAGCCCCAGCCTGTGGATGGGGCCCAAGGGCAGGACCCCGTGCGCCCGCAGTGCCTCAGCTCACACTGCTCCTTCCCAGGGTCGATCTGCTGCCATATCCCCCCTCGCCACCCTAGGAATCCTCCCCGGGAGCCTTTCCGCTCCAGCACAGACCCACACGGGGGGTTCCCACCATTTATTGCGGAGCTGCTGCACGGGGGCAGCCTCGGAGCATCCCGGCCTCCTCTCCCGCCGTGATCCCTGCGGAGAGGCCATGGCGGCTGGATCTAGCAGGGGGCAGAGCAGGGGGAGCTGAGGCGAGTGCGGCCACCCCCATTCAGCCCTGCATGGAGCTGCTCACCGGTGCCGGCGCCGGCGCAGTCGCCGCACTCCCAGCTCCCGACCTCCTCGCCGAGGCCGCCGCATTCCCGGTGGGTGCCCCGCGAGCCGCACGAGTTGCAGAGCAGCAAGCGCCAGGGCCTGCGCGAACCGTGGTGCTGGTGAGAGCCGGGTGCCGAGGCCGGAGCACCGGGGCCAGAGCACGAGGGCTGGAGAGCAGCTGGTGCCTCCCAAGTGCCACCCTTACCCCTTGTCCTCCACTTACCCCTCGTCATCCGCCTGCTGCCGGCCGCCCGGGCACAGGCAGCGGGCGGCGTCGCAGGAGCTGTGCCGCCGGTAATGGTCGTCGAAGGCTCCCTCCAGCTCCCAGGCGGCATCCCTGGAGCCGGGGAACGGGGCAATGAGGCGGCGGCGGGCGCTGCGCCCGGGGCGGGACAGCAACCGCGGCGGGCGCGCGCGGAGCCGGCGCCGACCTGTCAGGGATCTGGATGCCCAGGCGGAACATCTCGGCCTGGAAGGTGTCCGTGTCCTGGCAGAGCGGGCAGCGGAAATGGTGCAGGGCGGAGCGCAGCGCCTGGCCCTGCGGGGAGAGGCGCCCGCCGGGGCGGCCGCGGGTCATGCGCCGGGCGCCGGAGCGGCGCAGCGGCCGCGGTGCCGGCGCCTACCTGGATGCAGGCGCGGTGGAACCAGGCGCTGCGGCAGGCGGGACACACCAGGGTGCCGAAGCGGGGCCGCCCGGCCACCGGCTCCTGGCAGATGAGACAGCGGCTCCTGCCCCGCCGCAGCGCCCGTAGCCGCTGCACCGGCCGGTGCTGCCAGCAGAAGGACCTGCGGGATAGGACAGGACAGAACGGGATGGGATGGGACAGAACGGGATGGGATGAGACGGGATGGGATGGGATGAGACGGGATGGGATGGGATGGGATGGGATGGGATGGGATGGGGGAGGCCATTCAGGCCCCAGCCAGCCTTCCTCCTCCTCTTCCTGCTCCTCCACACTCACTTGAACTCCCCGAAAAACTGGGAGACGCAGCCCCGCTCGCCGCCACAGGGGAAGTGGAAGTTTCGGGGGCATCTTCGGCCCTGGCACGCCACCGAGGCCCCCCGACGCCGGCAGATGCAGCAGGTCTGGGGATGGCAGGGATGTGGTGAGCATCAGCACCGTGGCAGCCCGGCTGCTGCCTCGGGCAAGCGCCTTTGCCACCCCAGGGATGCTGAGCACCAGATGGTGGGTATGAAACCCATAAGGCCAAGGGGAAGCGTTTTGAGCCCTTTTCCCTCCAAGCACACGTTCCGCATAGAAACGGGCCGCTCTGGCCAGGCCAGGATCCATCAAGGATCCGGCTGCAGGCAGCTGCCTCCTGCGAGCATCGCCGGGAGCTGCTATGGAGCTACATCAGAGCCGAGCGGCGGGCCCGTGGCCTCACCTTGTGTGCCGCCCGCTTGAGCTCCTGGCGGATGTCGGGGAGGAGGAAGCCATAGAAGCCCTCGCCGTCGGCCCCGCGCTGGCTCAGCCCGCTGGCGTGGTACTGCGGGGGCGAGAGCGGCCGTGCGCGCGCGGGGCCGGCACCGCCACGGCCGGCGCCCAGCCCCGGGACTCACCAGGCAGTTTTCATGGACGCACAGCCCGTCCTGGTGGCACGTCTGCCCAAAGAGCTCCGAGTCGGAATCTGCCCGCCGGCACAGTGCACACGCGGCTGGCAAGGACACAGCACTGTCACGCCTGGGCGCGGGCAGCACGGGGATGCTCCGGGCACACAGATGGTGGGGAAGTTGTATTTGTAAAGTTGGATCCAGCCTCCTTCCCAAATCCCTGCCCGGGGTGGCCACAAGGATGCCCTGTGCCCACCTTCCCCCTCCGGCTGCCTCATTGCGGCGGGCGGCAGCGGGGGCCGCGGGACCCCGCGGGTGTTGGAGGGCTCAGCACCCGTGTCGATGGAAGCAGGGGGAGATGCAGCCCCGCGCAGTGGAACACGCTAGCGCATCACAGTGGCTGCAGGCTCTCCAAGACGTGGAGATAGCCCAAGAATCCTGGGCATGCCTGAAGGCTGGGACCCCCAAGCACAACACAGACATCCCCTCCACAGGGATGCGCATGAGGCCCAGGAATAAAGTCAGCCCACAGGAAGGAAGGGCTCGAGCCAGAGCACTGCGGGCACACGGGGTCCCTCCCTCAGGTCCCATCCACAGGCTGGGGACTCCAGTCAGAATTCAAGACACACCACAAGGCTTCAGCATCCCAACACTTTATTGAGGCAGCAGCGCCTGAGTCCCACCAACAGACATGCTCTGAACATTTAAATTACTTAAATTATGTAACACTTTTTTCTGCATTTTCCTTTTTTTAGCAAAAAATATTTAACTTAAGTTAATCATAAATAACTTAAATAAAATAGGTTGCTCCACTCCAGAGAGACACAAGGCCAGGTGTCCATCACAAGGGCAGGGGCCGTCAGCCGGCCCAGGTCGCTGTTGGGTCTGGCTCAGTTCTGCTTCTTCTGGAAGTGTTTGAGATGCGCCCGGACCCAGGGGGCCTGGGGGTCGGCACAGATCTCCTGCTTCTTCTTGGTGACGAAGCTGTGGGAGCAAAAGGCCATGAGGAGGCTGCGTCGGGAGGACGCGGGTGCCCCGTTCCCGGCGCCCCACGGGCACCGGCGCCCGCGCCACGGGGGGACCCGGCGCAGCCCCCTACTCACATCACGCCCGGCTGGGTGCAGCTGCTGCTGGTGACGTAGGCGGAGGCGATGAGGCCGCGCGGGACGGGCCTGGAGTGGTAGCTGAGGCAGCACGAGGTGGGGACGCCGTCTGCAAGGAGGGAGGCACGAGGGCAGAGCCCCCGGTGAGCGCCGGCCCCGCGGGGCGCCCGCCTGTCGCTGCCACTCGGTGCCACCCGCGGACACCCCCAGAGCCCGGCCTTGGCGCTCGTGCCCGTCACCCACCCCCGTTCCTCCCCGCGGTGCCACCACGGTCCCGTGCGCCCCGCCAGCCGCGCAGGGCATGGCCCGGAGCGGCGCCAGGAGCCCGCGGCGCTGCCCACTCACCCAGATGGGCCTGGGCGCAGAGGGCAGCGAGCAGCAGAGCAGCCAGGGCGGCCACCAAGACCTTCATGGTGCTGCCGGGGCGGGCGCGGGACTCGCCGAGCGGGGCCGGTGCCGCGAGCTGCGCTGCTCCATGCCGGGCGCCGCCGCTGCCCTCCTCTTATAGCGCGGCCGCGGGGCGGGCACCGGCGTCGCCCAAGGAAATGGGCGCAGCGTACGGAGAAACGCTCTCGGGATGAGCCCCGTTTTGCTGAGCTGGAAAAGGCCAGGAAGCCGCAGAAGGGGAAGCGCCGGCCCCGGCTCCACCGCTTTCAGATTCCGTTTCCGAGCGGGGAAAGGCCTGCAGGGAGCCCTGGCCCCGCAGCCCAGCCCGGCACCCTCGCGGGGCGTCGCGGCGGCCGAGCCCCGCGGCCCGGTGTGCGCGGGAGCCGCGGCGCGGGCTGGGGAGCTGCCCCGCCGAGCCCTGGGGACGCCCAGCGCAGGCGGCGCCGAGCGCTCCCAGCCGCTCCCGCGTGCGAATCTGCCCCGCGTGCGGATCTGCCCCACACAGCGTCGCCCCCTCTGCCCCACCACCGAGTCGAGCCCATGGAGCCGCCCTGCACCATCACTCCCAGGCACCGCCGTTACAACCCACAATCAAGCGCCCAAATTTCCATCTATAACTTCTCCACCGTTTAGGCCCAAGTGCCCTTCCACCTCGGAGTCCCCAGCAGTTGCGATACTGAGTTACCTACAAAATGTGCACTGCTTTCCCCAGCCCGGGGCAAACAGCTCTGAGGCTGGGCCGAGAGACAGAGCCTGTGGGTGGAGGGCAGCCAAAAGGGGTGCCAAGAGGTTGTCCTAGTCAAGGGCAACCAGCCAACAGGTATCATCAGGCCAGCAGTGTCCTCGAGTAAAGCCACCCCCAAGGATGGCTGCTCGGTGCTGCCCATGCTCCTTGGAAATCTGCGTAGCACAGCTCTCGTTTTCACACGCATGATTCTCTGTATCATGCGTTGCCTATACATTCAGCTCTGTAACTGCCATACTCTGTTGGCCACCTGGGAAAGGTAACAGAGATCAGGTTGGTTGGATGTGGTAGATGACCCTGGTAGATGATAAGTTTGTCTTTAGTTGATTAAAACCCTAAGTTACATTTTCTTGATGGATACCCCATTGGGAAGCCAAGGCCCGGATGTCCTCTAGGAACTGGACTCCTTTGTGGTGCTGGTGGACTCAGGTTGCAGCTTGTCCTGCCCCTCTCCTTTTCCTAGGTCTGAACAGAGCATTTCCACCTCCTTACCTGTACTATTTTCATTGTTTTGGCCTGCAGCCTCTTGCCAGCTAATCTCTGGCCATTCCTGTTTGCCCCCTTATCCCGTATCTTTTCCCAGTTTAACTCTCCACACTGGCTTAGCCCATAAAAGAGAACATACAGATACGAGAGAAGAAAGAGGGCCATAAGAGCAGAAACAAGGTTTGTCAAAGCCTGCTGAGATCAGCTCACTGCAGCCTTGCAGATGAAACGGGGGCGATTATAGCGTGACAGGAAAGGGGCTGCATCTGCTGTCCCTAGACATAATTCCCAATAACTCCGTTGGTAAGACAGAACTGCAAAACTCACAACTTCCTTATTTTGTTTTCTTCCTTTCTGCCCTTGCCCTGTGGGTGCCACGAGACCGGCTGCCAAACTTGGAGGCCCCACACTAACCCCCAGCCCCCCAAGGCCTGCCCGCCGAGCCTCCCTGGGCCGTGACTAACTCCTTCCACCCCTGATTCCAGAGGAAGGTTTGGCTCACCCGGCTGCTGAGCAAGAGCTGGGCCCACCCGCCTCATCCCCTCGCCTGGGATGCTCCCCCTCGCACTTCCCCCTTTCACATGCAGGGATGAACCTCACGTTGGCTGCAATGTCCTTTCAGCTGGGGAGCTTTTCCTCTGCCGCCCGGTCCCTGTCCAAAGGATGAGGCGCTCTCGGAGACAGCACTTGTTAGATAGGAGATGCAGGGCTGAGAGAAAATACTGCAATCTGCTTTTGGAAAGGAACAAAAGGCGAGAGGTGACAACGGGTGTGAATCATCTCACTGGCGACCCTCAGGAGGAGCTAGACAACACTGATGGGGCCTCAGGGTGATGTTAGAGAGAGATGTGACCCCCCCAGCTCTCTTCTGGTGCCTTTGATTCAACTATTTCTGTCTAAGCCACCTTATGCTCTTGCTAGCCAGATGTGTCAGAACAGAGAAAAGCAAAAGGAAAGGGCTCCATTTCTCTGACAACTGAAGAGTTGCCTGAGTTTTTTCTGTCACAGTACCATTGTATGGTCACTAATAAGTTTTCCCTGACCTCAAACACCCTCTGCATACCAAGAAAGCTCAGGTTCAAGACATTAGCCAGCAGAAATCTCATGTTTTTACAAACCTCTCTGCTTGCAACCCCAGTGTCTCCCACCGAGACCTATTCCAGGTGCCAGGTTGGGGTCCAGCAGTAACAGGGGCTGGTGTCCGAGCTGGGTTTTGACCCATCAGCCAGACCCCTAACCCTACTACAGATCTGGAGGCTGCAAGTTATACAATCTGAACGTGAATAAACCAGGGCGTGACACTTGTCTAGGGGAAAAAAAAAAGAAAATCTCCTTCTGGTCTGTGCAAAGTAGATTGTGTAAGGCACCTGATGGTTTTGTTTGGTGGGTGCTAGCCTGGCTGCTGCCCGGGGGTCCTTTGCCTGCACAAGCAGAAAGAAAAGAGGATTGTGACTTCCTCCAATTGACACTGTTCCTGTTTTGGAAGAGAGCAAGTATCTGGCATAATGAAACCATTGCGTGGATGTAGCTGTCCAAGAACTGCTGTCCTGCTCATTCCTCGGCTGTGGGCTCAGCTCTGTCTCACTACCCTCCTGGCAAAGATAAGAAGGACTTTTAATGTCCCCCACTGCACACCACCTTGAAAAAACAAACGCCAAACTCCACCTGCAATGGGATATCCCAGAGAGAGAGACAGTTTTCATCCCTCCAGCCCCAAAGTGAAGTCACTATGACTAGCACTATTCCATGAAGAAGCAAACCGAGGCAGCGTTTCCTGCCTTGAAAAAGTAAAATCACCCTGTTGCTCATGTAGAAAACCCTGCAGGAGGCTTCAGACTTCTCCAGGTAAATAGGAGGCCTGAAGCTAACTGCCCAGCGAGGGATGGCCATGAAGCATAGGGGTAGGGTATATCCCCAAACTCCAGAAACACTGAAAATTGAGGGATGCAAGATCAGCAATTGCCACAGTGAAGAGTGGGATGGCCCATGGGCACTGCCTTTAGAGCAGCGACCAAAGGAAAATTGTCATCCGGTGGGTATCACGGAAACTGTCACTGTTGCAAAGCTTGGTTTTTGATGGAAATGAGAAAATACTGCCTTTTGTTGCAGAAGTGGTCGGCTGGGCTTTCAGTTCTTCATTTGCTGAAGAGCCGGATGGGACAGCTTACTGGATGCTGATGAAATACTTTCCATTCTAACTGGAATGGAGAAGGATATTTCAATGAATCGCAAGAATTGCAGCTCAGGAAAAGTAGATCATTTGTATACAAGAGTATTTAAGGAAATAAATATAAGGAACTGAAATAAAGGGAGAGTGAAGAAATAACTTACAGCTTTAATTCACCTGCTGTATAAGACCTCAAGCAGCTGATTTTCTAACCTTGCAGGGAAACAGGGGGAATTCAAAGCCGGGTATGGGGGAGCTGCCTTTTTATGAGCAGCACTTCCCAGTGAAGCTTTCAGCACTCGTGTAAGCAGCACAGGAGACTGGAAAGAGAGAAAAACAGTTCTACAACTGAAATTTTGTAGACAAAAGGAAGCAAGAGCCCATTGCTTATTAGAAAGGTAACCAGAGATGCAACAACTTTTTGGCTTTTCTTTAGGGAAAAGCAAACAACACCCTCTCCCTGCACACACGAGCTGTGGTCAGGTACTCGGGACAAAATCCAGTGTCAGAGGGTGAGCACACAGGTGAGAGCAGGGAAAAGAGTAACGGGGAAGGAAGAGGTAGACAAGCCAGGTGTGGTGAAGACATCAAGCCTCAAATATCACCCGTGCAGCCTTCTGAAACACCTCACGGTCACCTCTGAATCACTTAGGATTAACACAACAAACTCATGTGGGATAGGAGAGCTTCCAGAGAGCCAGGGATGAACAAACACGGTCAAAGTCTTGCATTACCTGTAGCTTTCAGCACAGCCCTGCATGATTCTCCTGCACAAACACGTGAAACACAGTCTAAAAACCGTTATCCCCAGGGGCTGTGAACACAGTTGAGGGAGCAGAGGGGCTGTCATTACCAAGAGAATGAGGCTGGCAAGGCAGAAGAGGACGAGCCCAAGCATGGCAGCCTGGTGGAGCTGTGCAAAGTGCTACCCTATGGAGCCAGAAAGCCACAGCAGGGACAACCCAGGGAGCAGAGCCACTTTGGTCAGCAGCACAAGGCAATTCTCACTGTTGGTCGGGGCAGAGGGTTCATGATCATGTCAGCACCTCAGTAATCACTGCTAGACAAGGGGCCTACATTTTGCCTTGTTAAAGGAATTGCAACTGCCCTTCCTCCTTCGCCATGTGCCAGTATGAGACAGAAGGAAAGGCAGAAATAGAGGGAGAGGAAACCGCAGGCAGAAAGAAAGGGAAGAAAACCCCAGCCCCAAACTTCTATGCAACTGTAGAGAAAACCACTGGGCATGGTGCAACACCCCTCTGGGAAGTGACACTTGTCATTGATAAAAATTATGCAAAGGGGTCCCGTGACCGGAGGTTGGGAGAGAAAAGCAGGTTATGCCCAGCGTGAGTTAGTGCTGATCTTTGAACAGGGCAACTCCACATGCAGGATGAATTCCTGCAGCAAGTCCCACTGATACCCTTTTAATTCAGATCCCTGACCATCTCTTCACCCTTAAAGGATCTTATACTGCATCTTGTAAAAAGACACACAAAGGCAGGGATTTTCCTGTGGTCCTGAATAATAGCCCTGTTTTCCCCCCAGCTTGAGTGACTTTTACAATAGACTGCAAGGAAAAAGAGCAGGAGAAGTGAAAAACAACCTCTTCTCCAGGCAGGGGACAACA